TTCACTATACGTAACTTCTGATCTCTTAAATTCAGCCGAATATCACTTTTATTGATATCTAGAGCCCGTGGGACTCCCATATTAAAAGGAGTGGAGTGCTCGTCGAAAATTTTCAAAAAAGCAGTACAATGCCATGAAGGGAATTATCAAGATTCACTAGATGACGCAAAAGCCGCCACGGAGCTGCAGCCAACTTACATCAAAGCCATAGCAAGAGGTAAGGGTTTCATCTCTTTGTAATCTAACTTTGTTGTTCCTGTCCATACAGTTCACTGTTTAGGTAAACTCAAGGAATTATACATAGAACATGGTCTTACCTGAATAGAATTGAGCCATTGATCTGTTGTTGTACAGTTTGGCGTTAAGTTCGTCATCCCTGCAGTTCACCTTAATTCCTTCCGAGTAAAATACTATGGCGTTACTGAATTCCTCTCTTCTAAATGCATCATTTCCTTCATTCTTGTACACCTCTGCTATTGCTACAAGTGGACACAATGGTTATGGCAAGAAAACAAACAGACCCAGGCGCAGTTAAATGATGTGCTTTGTTTGTCTACTCGCACCTTGCAGGGTGATGTCGTCAAAAGCCAGTGTTCGCTGATCTTACGCTGGTCAGGAAAAATTCTGCAGCATTTTATAGTGTGGTATTAAAGACAGACAAAACAATGATAAGATAATTTTTGAAAAGTGTTTCAGAACACATCTAACCTGGTAAAAGGTTTCTAATTTATGATATTTCAATAGTTTTATCTTAACCAAGCAGTCAAAGTTTAGAATTCAAAGTAGAAGAAATGCCACTTACTAGCCGAAGATCTGAAGTGAAGTTTAAAAAGGGTACAAGTTAATTGGAACTCATGGTACTGTCAAATAGTTCCTAAGTGCAGGAATTTTCTTTTCAAGTAGAAAGGAAAACTAGTTTTCCATAGGAACGTTTATAGTTTCAGAGATAAGATTTTTCTCGTCACAGGCTCTAAGACTGAAAGATCACCTTAGGCTACAAAGGACGGTCACTCCAGCTAGCGTCTGCGGAAAACGATATACTATAAATGCTTATAACTGATTAACAGATTCGAATGTGATTATTCGCTTAATTACATGAGAGGTTCACAACTGACTCTGAAGAGGTATATACTTGCTGTAGTGACCGTGTCACGGACTTGCTTTCTTGGAATCGGGGGAAGCCCCGGTTCCGGGCTCAATGTATTTTGCGAAACGAAACGAAAGGAAAGGGATTAAAATGAGCATATCAAGTATCACAACAGTCATTCCTCCGTGCGATAACCTATACAAGGAATAAAACAGCGGAAGTGTAGAATTTGTAAATTCGAAAATCTGAATTCTGCGAAACGAGCTCTTTGAAGACTGTGACGATATGTAACTTATTTCTTCCGATTCTTTAACACTTTTCGTAGATACAACTCGATGCAGTGATGATTTTTGAACAAAGAGCGGTTTGAGCCAAAAGGCCAGAAGTGCCCCGTTTCGTAAATTACAGATTTGTATTTTGCGAAACGAGCTCTTCGAAGACTGTAACGATATGTAACTTATTTCTTCCGATTCTTTAACACTTTTCGTACATGTTTATTCCTTTCGTTTCGTTTCGTTTCATTTCGCTTCGTTTCGCAAAATACAGTAAGCCCGTTCGCGGACATGCAACTTCCTGTTTGCATGACTAAAGGCACAAACATATATGTTTCACTTGATTTAATTTCTCGATACCTTCTTCTAATAACCTCCCAAGTACCTGTAGCGTAGTCTAAACGAGACCAAACGATGATAACACAACGGTTTTAATAAAGCTCATAAAAGCCCGGCATTACTAGCCGTAATACAACAACAACTACTACATCCGGGATACATCTCATTCTACTGCGCAAGCCCGAAGGGCCTATGACATCATAGCATCGTTAGAGTACCCAATAAAGGGAAATAGATTCTTGTCACATTAAGATTCTAGCCGAAAATTCAAGAGTCGACCATACATACGATTTCAAAACAGCAAGTTAGCGTAGCTCGGCTTGAATCTAGACAACCGTCTATGAATTTTTTCGCTTATGAATTCTTTCGCTTTTGAATTCTAGCCATTTTTAGTTAATTACCACGTAAGTCCACCCGTAATAAATTATGGGAAAATACACCGAAACCAAAAGAAGGTTAGGTGTGGTATAACTGATTCAGGAAAACATTTCAACGAAGCAAAATGACATAAAATAATCCACCTTCCAGCGATTTGATACTGGACGCCATCTTGAATTGGTAGAGACGGCACTGTCGACACTTTCCCACCAGCCAATTAGCTATGTAAAAGATCGAGAAAAGCGCACGTCTTCATGCACTTCGTAGCTCATTAGACTAAATGTTTTGTATTCAGTAGGATTTGTGACCGTCACAAAGTTTAAAGAATGTATAAAGGTCTTGTACTGACCTGTTGAGCCTTCTTTTGCTACCATATCAAACCAAGATGACTGTAAATTAACTACGTAACTACAGCGATAACTTATCCTTTTCTCGACGTCGGCATGATGTTTCCTTTTATATATATCAATCTCTAATAGCTAAGATAGCCAGTGGAGTTGCTATCAGGAGAGGATTGCTCTTATCGTGTGATCCCAGTCTCTGTCATCCAATGCGACCTGCCCGAGGCCTGCGCTACAGTAAAACAAAATGTTTGCTCATTGCAATGATTGCAATTGTATTCCGAAAACATTTTCAGGTTACTTTCTTACGTGCGATTCAAAAATTAGTATAGTTTAACTCAAGAGGCCTATAGAGCAAAATGTGGAAATTCTGAAAACACTGATGTTATACTAATCCTTAATTTTGAGAGAATGTTACAGCATCAAGAGCAAAATGTGTGTGATTAGGACTTCCGGTGTTCTTCGTCAATCTTGGGGAGATCGGAAATATTAACTGAATTGGTAATAACCAAGAGACGATAACGTTCAGGTCACATTCGGGCCGGGAGTGTTCAGGAGAGCCGCTTCAGGTTTCTTCGGAAATCGTTCTGTGCTTGGAGTACCCAGTATCTAAAGGCAACACTTTTTTGAGCTGGCACCCAGGCACCAGTGTTCGGGCGCCAAGTGTGAACGTAACATTAGTCTTTCCGATGTGCGGTCGACCCAAAGAAGCCCAACCTCTACTCATCCCGAGGGCCTTCTCCTGGACGATTTTCAAAATGGCGGCTAGACGACACTGAGACGACCCGCCATTTTGATAAGTGGAGAAGGCCCTGGGGACGAGGTTGCAAGAAGCCTGGCATGATAAAGGTTAATTTGCTTGGTTACGGCAACTAATTCTGCTTGCTTGACAAATCGATGACTTGCTCAGTTAACTCGAACACCATAATCCTCTGATCGTGTCCTTCATTGCCTTCTCACTTACTTCATCTTCCAACACGTACAGAAATGGGTTAAGAGATGAGTTTAACGAAGCGAGAGAACATGTTACATACTCAGCGAGGTAAAGAGTGGTGTAACCAGTCCACTACATGGGCGAATCTAGGGGGAGAGTGCAGGGGGTTCGCACCCCCCCCCCCCCCGAGATGCAGCCTCCTTCTTCGTTTTCGCTTTTAAAATTTGTTTACCTCGCCAGTCAGTTACGCCATTCCTTAGTGGTGCAC